TTACAGCCGTTACCCTAAGCCCCGCCCTGCCCGCCCTGTCCTCCAATCCCGACAGGTCCTTGGGGTGGGGGCGTGGCCATGGGGCTAGTTTCGCCAGGGGGGCGGCCCCGCCCCGCCCTCCCAGCTCGTGAAGGGCGTCACTTCCGGCGTGTGCGTCCGGCGACCGTCCGGCGCGGGATGGCGGCTCTACGGAGTTTGCTGTCGCGGAGCGTCGCCTCGCTGTCCAGGTACTGCTACGTGTAGGCGGTAGGAGTAGAGGGAGGTGACACAGAGCTCCCGCGGCGCTGTCCCTGCCTGAGCGCGCTCTCCCCGTGGGCCGGGCCAGGCCGTCGCGTCCCGCCCGTCTCGGCAGAAGTCCGAGGACGGCCCCGCCTCCCGCCCGCCCAAGATGGGACTCTCCCCCGCAGTTCCTCCATCCCCTGACCGCGAGGCCCGGGCCGCCCGCCAGCTCCTGGTCTTTGGAAGTCCCTGAGTTGAGAGGAGAAGGGACCGCGGCTCGGGGAGAGGCCTGGAAGGGGAGAAGGAGCCCAGGAAACTGTCCGAGGGGACCCTGGTCCCCTGTGCTCCCCTCTTAACGCTGCTCTGCTCCTGGGCTTTTCCAGCCCGGACCGTCACCGACACCTGAAACCCAGGCCAGGACCTGCAGAAGCGTGGTATTTGGCATTGGGTGTCTGGACAGCTGCGAGGCAGTGTTTTAAACCTCCAGACCTGGTGGTGCTGAAGACTGCAAAGCCCTTGGCAGCTTTCCCAAACAGCAGGGGTCCGCTGGGGTTTGTGTGGTGGTCGTGCCTCTTAGAAAATCAGGCTTTCCGGGCAACCCAGCTCCCATATACCCCTGTATCTTCCTTTAGGTTCCTGCGTAGCCTGACTTTGAGTTTAAACCTCTGCAAGTGAGTCGAAGAGACTTGCATAGCTTGCGGTTGCGCCTCATGAATCGTTCCTTCTTTTTTCTAGGTACAGGCGGTGCGTTCCTGTCGTGGCTCACGTGAGGAAGCGCTGTTTCTCAGAGTGGATACGACCATGGCACAAAAGCGTGGCGGTGGGATTTGGTGTGACACTGTGTGCAATCCCCATTGCACAGGTACAGAGCTGCTGGTGACTGCGTCTCTTGTCTCTGTTTTTGAAGGCTGAAATAGTGAAGCATCAGACAAGCCACTAGTTTTTCCTGGCACTCCCTGTGCCCTCACACGATTGTATACTTTTTGCTATACCAGCATCAAAATTGAGCAGGTGTATTAATATCTTTATTTTGATTGCTTCCTTTCTTTAAAATTTGCGATCAAAACCATTCCTTTTTTAAAGTTTATTTAATTATTTATTCATTCATTTATTTTCATTTGATAGAGAGAGAAAGGCAGGGAAAGTGAGAAAGCAAGCCACCAGGTCTGGGACTCAAGTTGTGGTCGGCCATGTGGCAGTGTCCAGCACCTTAACCACCATGCCACCTGCTGGTCCCCTCTATTGTTCCCTTTTGATAAGAACAGAACACTGAGTTATATAAGAAGGACAGAGAAAAATAAGAGTATGTCATGGTCGATGAAAGTGCTTCATTCAGGGACCAGCAAGTGGCATGGAGGTTAAGGCACAAGATCCCACATGCCACCTATGTGGTTTGAGTCCCAGACCCGGCAGCTCGAAAATCACATTGAGCACTTGTACATGCGTGCCCAAAATCCTGAGAGGAGAATGGAGGAGAAGGGATCGTAGCATGGCCTTTCTCCCTACGGGGTTATTTCTTATTTTCTCTCCCTCTCTCTTACTCTGTCTGTTTCTCTGTCTCATTCATGAAAAAAAAAAAAAAACTTAAAAAAAGTGAACTGCTAATAAATGCTGTGAAGAAAACCCGTAGGGTGTATTATAAGGGGGTTGTTTTGTTCCCGATCAGGTTGCTCTGAGAAGGTAAAGTTTGACTCGAGATCTGAGTGAGTAAACCATGATGCTGTCTGGTAGGGGACGAGTTTGCCAGGCAGAAGGAATGCGGAAGTGCAAAGCCCTGGGACTAGGGGTGTGCCTGGGATGCTGAAGGAAAACAAGGAGGCTGATGGGGCTCGAGTGGAATGAGGGAGTCAGTAAACAGATGAGGCTAGAGACTCAACTAAGGATCAGATTGTGTGCCCTGTTCTTTGTGAGCCACTGTGAGGCTTTGGATTTCATTCCGAAAAAGAACCCACAAAGGTTTTTAGCACAGGACTGTCACGAGCTAACGTAAGTTTTAAACGGTTGCTGTGTGGAACGAGGAGGCTATTGGTATAATCCAGACGCAAGGTCATAGTGGCTTGGACTAAGTGGGTGGCAGAGGAAGTGGGGAGAAGTTGGCCAGATGTGGTGAGCAGATGTATAACCTAGACTGCACGACTTTTAAAGGCCTGAGCAACTAAACGTATGGAGTTGCCATTTCCCAGATTGAAGAAAAGTAGGTTTTGAAGGAAGCAGTCAAGTTCAGCTTGGGGAATGTCAGCTGAGATGTGACATAGACAGGGAGGTGGAGCTGTCAAGAAGCAGTTGAGAGGAAAGTAGCTCCTCCCTTAGAGCAAGTCACTGGTGGGCCAGCTGCTGGTGTGGTGAAGGCAGCTGGGGTCTGTGTGGCCAATCGCCCGGCTTGGAAAACAGGCCAGGTGAGGGCACACGTGCATGCCCACAGTCCTGAGAGGGGATTGCAGCGTGGCTCTTCACCCTTGGGTGGGGGGTGCTTTCTCTCTTTCTCACAAGCACCTTATGGCAAATTAAAATTTAAAAAGAAAAAAAAAAAACAGCAAAAACACTGGTTATGGATTTGTCCTTTGGCCTAGTGGTTAAGGAGTCCAGATCCTTCATGGCTGACTATGCAGCTTAAATCTTGGCCCCAGTGACTTGAAAAAACTATGCTGGGCACGTGTGTGTTCGTGCTCAAAAATCCCAACAGAATGGGAAAATAGAGAAGGGATGGTGGTGCCACCATGCCCTGTTGGGGGATGCTTTTTTCCTTTCTTTTCCTCTCCCTCTCCCCCTCTGGCAAGTGCATGTGCCCTCTGGCAAATTAAAAAAAAAGTCACTGGTTATTTGTTCTTTGGAGGAGAGCTTCATAGGAAACCAGCAAGCTCCATTTCAGCAACATGTTCTGATGCACGTGTTTACCGCCACCACAAGATTGATTGTGTTTACTCACGCCTTCAGCACCTCCCAGCGCTCACCCACAAGCCCTCCTCTCACTAGGCCTGGCTTCAGCTGTCATCTCTGCTGATGCGCCCTGCCCCACAGCCCGCAGCTGAACACCAGGCCATTTTCAGCCACTATTAGTACACCTTTTTTTGTTCCTTCAGAAGATTTGGGTGTGGGGTTTGCCCTGTCTCAGCTCATGCACTGCTTTCCAAGCCTCCGTGGATCAGTCCTGCTTCCATGCCTCAAAGCCACAGTGAGCGTTTTACAGAATGAAAGCCCAGCCAGCTCTCCCCGCCTCCCAGTGCCATCTGTTCTCACCAGGCGAGGTTCCTGGACACCCGGCCTGCCGCAGATGCGTCCTTTCCTCATTTCTTCCTCTGGGACGCCCGGCCACCCCAGTCCCAGCTGCAGCCTGCAGCAGGTCTCAGCTTAGAGCCCTTCCTAGTTCCTCGCCCACAGCCGCTCCCTCTCTCTGCCCTCAGTGTGTGTACCCGGGTACTCGGCACTCTGTGACATTCTCCCATGTCAGCAGAACTGAATGGGAAGGAGCCAGGCTTTGGAGTGAGGAGATTCAGTGTGAGGTCTAGGTGTGAGACTTTGGGGAGGTTTCCTAGCTACTCTGAGCTCCGTGTCCCCATCTGTAAAGAAGCAGCGTTACCTGGGCGCACTGTGAAATGGAGCAGTTTCGAAGGCCGAAGTTGGCAGAACGGTGTCGTCGCCCCGCAGTACCAGGTACAGAGTAACTATTATCCGAACGAGAGATAAAGACAATATTTGGTTTGTTCCTACAGCAAAAATACTTGCAGCTTTCAGCATGTGATATCTTGGTGTTTGTACTCTAAATAGGAAAAGCGAGACAGATGTGAGCCGTTGCTTTCACTGTTCCACAGTGAGTGCTCTGCCGAAGGGGGACGAGGCGTAGTTGTGGGTGACCGTTACCCACAACTATGTCACTACAGTTGCCACATTTAGTCAGGGCGGCCACGTTCCCCTGACTCTTGCGGAGTTAGTTGTGTTGCGTTATTAACAGCTGAGAAGAGTGAAGAGCGTCCCCGCAAGGCGATGCACCTTCTCCTCCTCGGCCTTCCTCATCTACGCACTGACTTCCTTAGCCTGGGCTTCCTCCTTGTCACATCGCCGTCACTCACGCAGAACGGATGGCTCCCACGGGCCGCACTGTGGCCTTGCGCTCTGCCGGCTCTGCCATGCTGCCTCCGTTTTCCTTGCCCTGTCAGCTCCCGTCAGCCTCCTCCTCTTGCTCTTCGCCAGAGAGCGTGTCTTATTGCTTTTTTTATATCAGGCGTCTAGCCCCATGTTCATGAATGGGTCGTACCTCGTGAATTGGTTATAATCGCTAACTTTCTATCACCGGAGGATGGTATGCTCGCCAGAGCTGGCGGGAGAAAGCGCCCCCTAGTGGGGCACAGTCATTTCACAGTCCCCTCTCCATTTCCCCACTCTGTTCTCATTTGGGGCATGGTGCACACACACCTGGATTATTTCCCAAGCCACTGGGGCTGGGATTCCAACTGTGGTTAGCCATGAGAGACCTGGCTCCCTTAACCTCTAGGCCCTGGGGCCAGCTCGTGGCTTTGTATCGTATGTAAGTACTTTGCTCTCGAGCAGAGAATGAAAGTAGATAGAAGCATACTCTCGGATTATTTCCTATATTATCTTAAACAGTAAAAATAAAGCCTTTAAAATGTATGAATTTAGTGCATTTCCAGCTGAAGGCACTAAATGTGTGACTGTTATGTTTTTAGCTTTGCTTTGACAAAGTTCTCAGCTTGAGCTTTCGGTCGGGAGCTGAACGAACGTTTGTGTCTTTCAGAAATCGGAGCCCCACTCGCTTAGCAATGACGCGTTAATGAGGAGGGCCGTGTCTTTGGTAACAGACAGCACCTCCACCTTCCTCTCGCAAACCACATACGCACTGATTGAAGCGATCACTGAGTACACTAAGGTAGGTTTCGTCCGCTAAGTCTTCATCTCCTGAACCAGGGGTGAGAACCTGGCTCACACCAAATCCAGTCACCAAACAGCCAGGCTCGTTTGTTTAGGTATTGTCTGTGACTGTTTTCGAGAGTGTAAGTAGTTTCTCTTTTTTTTTTTCTTCTTTTAGAGAGGTTTTTGCTATAGGGCACATGCACTTGCCAGAAAGACAGAGAGAAAGAAAGCGAGAAATCACCCCCCCGGGGGGATGGCCATGCCACAATCCCTTCTCCTCCATTCTCCTCTCAGGATCTGGGGCATGCACGCACATGCACCTGGCGTGAGTTTAAGCCTCCAGATCCAGGACTCGAAGCACAGTCAACTACATGGGAATCCAGCAACATAGCCATTATGCCAACTGCTGGTTCCTGTTTTACCTATATTTTCTAGTAGGTTTTTTTCCTGACTTTTTGAGTTTCCCTCCACATTGTCTTCTCCATGTCTGAATTGTAAATAAGCTTTTGTTTATTTAATTGCCAGGAAGAAAGAGGAGAAAGTACCCCTTGTCCCCCTGTTTGGCGTGGTCATGCCACAATCTCTTTCTCCTCCATTCTTCCATCCTGCCAGGATTTAGGATATGCTTGCACATGTGTCCAGAGTGTTTTTCAAGCTGCTGGAGCCAGTATTCAAACCACGGTCACCCATGTGGGATCTGGCTCCTTTAACCACTAGGCCACATGGCTGGTCCTGCTAACAAGCTTTTAAAACACATAACATTTGGGACCAGCAGTTGGCGTCATGGCTCTGTCACTGGACTTTCATGTGGTCTACTGTGGTTCAAGTCCAGGGCCCAGTGGCTTAAACTTTGTGCCGGGCACGGGTGCGTGTGTGCCCAAGATCCCTAGGAGAGAAGAGATTACGGCATGGCCATCCCCCGGGGGGTGAGTTCTCGCTTTCTGTCTCTCTGGTGAACACACATGCTGTATGGCGAAAACCTAAAAACAGATGGAAAGAGCCAGTCAGTCCTGGAGCAGTGATACTTTGGCTTCATATAATAGGCAATTTCGGTGAAGCGGGACTGGAAAACCATTTTGGTATAATGAGATTTGGCCTCCCTGAGGTGTAAATCTCACTAGTCCTAGTACATTTCTCTGATTTTACTCAGACTCACTTATTCTATATTTGTAGGCTGTTTATACCTTAATTTCTCTGTACCGACAATATACAAGTTTACTTGGGAAAATGAACTCACAGGAGGAAGATGAAGTGTGGCAAGTGATTATAGGAGCCAGAGTTGAGGTAAGCAAAAAGCTATTCGGCCTTTGTATTTAGTGTCCCTACCTCATAGTATCTCAATTACTGAATTAAGGTGTCTAACACATAGCTGTTGTTTTTATTTGTTTGAGAAATTTTTACTGTAAGGGTGTGTGCATTTGCTGGAGAGACAGAAAGTGAGTAATCACTTCCCAGGGGGGATGGCCACGCCACAATTCCTTCTCCTCCAGCCTCCTCTCAGGATTTTGGGCATACGTGCACATGTGCCCGGTGTGAGTTTTTTGTTAAAGAGGTTTTTGCTATAGGGCGCGTGCGCTTGCCAGAAAGACAGAGACAGACAGAAAGCGAGAAATCACCCCCTAGGGGAGATGGCCATGCTGCAATCCCTTCTCCTTCATTCTCCTCTTGGGATCCTGGGCACACACGCACGCACACGCGCCTGGCGTGAGGTTAAGCCACTGGGTCCGGGACTCAAACCGCAATCAACTACATGGGAGTCCAGCGACATAGTCATTACGTTAACTGCTGGTCCCTCTCCTGGTGTGAATTTTAAGTCACTGGGCCTGCGGTCAACTATATAGGAGTCCCTTACTATTACCCCATCTGTTGGTCCCACCCATAATTGTTTTTAAGCATACTACTTTGAATAAGTCTATTTAAATGTGCTAAAACTCTTTCATGTTACCTGAAGATTTTGCTCAATTTACAGATGACTTCAAAACAGCAAGAATACTTGAAGCTGGAAACCACTTGGATGACTGCAGTTGGTCTTTCAGAGATGGCTGCAGAAGCTGCATACCAAACTGGTAGGCTCAGATCGCTCACTGTGGAGGCGTCACTGCGTCATTTTAAGTTTTTCTATAGAGCATGTGCGCCAGCCGGAGAGAGACGGGCGGTGGGGGCAGTGAGGAATCACCCCCCGAGGAATGGCCACGCCGCAGTCCCTTCCCCATTCTCCTCTTGGATTCGGGGCAGGCACATGCACATGCTCCCAGCGTGTTTTTCAGGCTATGGGGTTAGGACTCCAGCCGTGATGTCAGCCATGTGGGATCCAGCCCCCCTCACTT